GCCCTTTTGACTGGTCAAGGGGAACAACTGGTGGTTCGGAGACGGCGCTAATGTTCCCTGTGTCAACAGAAAAACACAAAGTGAAGAAAGGAGAGGATAGGAGTTACTATGGAAGAAGGAATGAGCCTTTGCTCTGTCTTCCTGTCTTTCGTTTCTCAGAAAACCCCATATGTTAGTTTGCTGTTTCCCAGCTGAACTTTGTACACTAACTCTGTCAATCAGCCTAATTAGTTTGGGGCAACACGGCTATGTTTTCATCAAGCAACCTTTTGAATTAAAACATTTACAATGCAGTTCAACAAATGAATTGGTTCCTAATGGTTAACTAGTGTGTTAGGAACAAATTAGTGCATTCCAAAAGACAGGTTTTAAACAACTTTTAATCTACTCTGTGACAGGATTTAACCCAAATTTCACTGTTACTGTTTTTACTTCAGCCAAGGCAGCTACACTTCTGTTGCTTTTTGTTTCACTCAGTAGAATACATCTCAGTTCTTAAAGGTTGTGCCAGTGTGAGAAGTGTTGTTTGTAGTGATGAACCTACAGAGAATTGTCTCCCCGGTCTGCAGCTCCCCTCAGATTGACAGAGCTTTGTAGTCAGTGTCCGTTTTTTATTTAGATGCCTAACTTTACTGTCTTAGTGTGTTGTCACTGCTGTTTGTTTTTAGCTGCAGCGGGCAAATTTTTTCAGTAAAAATGCTTCTTAAACACTACTTGTTCAGCACCAAATGTCAGACAAATGCAGTTAGCAAAAAACTGGTAAACATGGTGGACACTCTAGCAGTTTGCAAAACAGTTATTTCCTGCAGAAGTTGGTAGATGATGCTACTCCGTAACCAATGTGTATCCAACCAAGTTCTCAAAAAAATAGTTGCTCAAAAAGGGCTGCAAGGTGGTGCAGTTGGTAGCACTGTTGCCTCGCAGCAAGAAGGTCGCCGGTTCGCGTCCCGGTGAGGACACCTGGGATCTTTCTGCATGGAGTTTGCATGTCCTCCCCGTGCAGCGTGGGTTCTCTCCGGGCCTATTCATTAATGCCACAGCACACAGTTCAGACTTGTGTCGTTTTGAAAGGGATACATAAAATTTACCAGGACAGACCCATTAACATTGCTGTTGAACTTTAAGTAGCAAGCAGGGTGCTCATTTAGTCATGAGGCCGGCGTGCTCAGATACCGCTGGGTTAACAGAGGGGAGTGCATGTTTGAAAGGAGCTTTATAGGGTCGTCTAGCTCAAGAACACATCCTGAAAAATTTGATTGAATTTCAACAACCAGTGTTACCACGGCAATAAGATCACTTTAAATGGCCAAGAGACATCTAAATAGTTGCAGTGATGTATGACCTTTAAAAGCTGTATATCTGTGCCTGAGGTTGGGTTTTTTTTCTGTCGATGCCCAGCAGTTGTAAGATTTTTTTCTGACGTCTTTATTTAACTTTTCTGATTCCATGCATCATATGTCAGAAACTTGGGGTGGGATGAGATTATTGGGATGAACCTTGTCATCCCAATAAGTGCTTTTTAGATTGAGAGCCTGCCAAGCGTCAGCCTGTTAAAACCTATTGGAATATTTTATGTAATATTAGGCTGTACAAAAAAAATGGCTAGGAAGAAGTCCAAGGCTTCTTCAGAGGAGAAAAGCAGGCTATGATCAAAGTGTTGAGAAAGTTGTGGAGCAGAGAACCTGGTGGCTCAGTAAAAGTCAGATATCCTGTTAGCTGCCACCATTTTATTGATCTGGGATTAGAAATGTGAGCCCACTGTGTTAGTGGGCCATGGATTTGGGCCTGGTGTGTATGTGTGTGTCTAAATGGGTCAGTGTAGCAGGCTATATTGATCCCTTGTCAGTTTTAAGTGTTAGATCCTGCTGGTGATGTTGCTGGAGGAGAATATCTATTGATCTGAGCTCGCGCTACAGTCCAGCACACTCACATAACAAAAGTGAGACAGACAGAGAGAGAGTGCATTTTGATTAGACACTGATGCTCACTTTATTCAAAATATCTTTGCGTTTCATTTCTGTATATTCAAATACTGGTTATACAAAAAAGTACACCACAGTCTGATACAAGATAGTTTTAGTAATATAAAGCTGACATCAGCCTATAACACCACACAAAACTCTTTAAACTGGCAATCAACTTTATGAAACTGTTTCTTTTTGTCTTTTTCCTATTTTATGTGACCCAACAATTTTTTTTTTCTGTTTTTCTTTACAGTCTGTAAGCTGTCATTTAAAACAACTGCAGTAATCTGAAGGTGTCCATCAGTGATCAGTAACACTGACCCGTCATTGACATCTGATTCATAAGTCGATTAAAAGCCAAATTTAGAAGGCTTATTGGCGTTCTGCTGACAAGCGTTCCCGTTGTGTTTAAATTGTGGTTACTATAACTGCTGTCATACGTCAGACATGCTGTTGAGCTGCATTGATCATGGAGCTGAGTCTGATGTCATGCTGTAGGAGCCAGAAATGATCCTCTGGGAAGACCATCTCCTATGTAGTGCTACTGCTTCATCACTATTACATGCAACAATCGTGCTTTTCTAAGTGGCCTGTCCTCTCCAGGGGAGCCTACTTTTTATGAGCACCGTGCTGAGTGGCCTCAGGCAACGCTGTCAAAGCCACACAAACACAAACTAGACTCATGTGGACAGTGGACTGGGAGATGAGAAAATCTACTGGCCAGGCACATTGTGTATCAACCAAAACAACAATTGCCTTTCTGTGTCACTTGTACATCTGTTTCATTACATTTTATTGAAATAATAAGTTATTGAATATAACAATATAAATAAACAGTTTTTAAAAACTGACCAACAGTGTCGTAAATAATTTTAAAGGACTAGAAAACCATATTCTAAAATTAACCACTAGATCTAATTGAACTAAAATTGAATGTTGTGCAAAATTTCCTCTCATTTATTGTTTGAGAGTACATCTAGTGTTTAGGTCAACGTTGTCATCTGTCTGTCATGTTACTTGATGACACAAACACAAACTTCTTGGCAGAACTTGCAGACTAACTGAGGTCTCACTCTGCCTCAAAGACAGCTGGTAGCCACCTCATGTTTTATTCAGAGTGTGTGTCTGTGTGTATGTGTGTGTGTGTAGGCTTGTTTGCTATCGCATTACCTCCTGGTGTATAGACCAGTGTAACGGTATCTGCAGGTATTGCACTCCCCCTACACTCCTTGCAGCTTGGTTGTAACCGTAGTAAGCCGATGGCGCGTTTATTTGCCTGGTTAGCAGATGACACTGTAGACCTGAGCCCGACGTCTCATTAGGTTGTGACAGTGGCCATAAATATACAGTAGTACTCGTCTTAACAACAGTTTTAAGCGATAGGAATAGTTGTTTTTAGTTTAACATACAATATAAAAACCACCACCATGTTACTTTAGTTCTTGTGAAGCAGTGTGTGTGAGACGGTGCAGGTATGTGCAAGTGTTTTCAGTGTATTTTTGCAGCCAGCCCCTCCCTGCCTGCTGACAGCTACTTCCCTCCTCCAAAAACACCCAGTTTTTACACACACACTCCAATAGTAACATTTCCCTTCTCCTCAGCTGGAGGTCAGATCTGTCTGTCTCCCGCCCATGTGCCCCTTCTGTGAGCCTGATGTCTTCCTGTGTGACCTTATTCACATGTTTTCTCATCTGAAAACATCTTACTTTGGCAGACAAATTACACGTTTCGATAAAGACACTGCTTCTTTGCCTCTTCTGAAGCACTGGTTTCTGGGAGAGTCTGCAAGAGAAACACTTCAACTGTTTGTGTCTTTCATCTTCTGGGCCCATCTGTACAGTCAGGTGTGTTTGGGAGGCAGGATAGGATGTTCTGGAATGGAAAGCATTCCCTCCTAGTGGGCTTTTTCTTTCCTGACACAGACACAGACACAGTTTGTGGACAGCAGGGTGTTTCCTGTTGGCTGCTTGCCTATACACATACACAAACAGACACACACCTACACACACTATACACATTGGCACACGTGTCTGGGTCAGTTGTTAGCTGGACTTTGATTTGTTTCAACAAAACTTGTTTTGAGCCTGTAAAGTCAAGCAGAGCAACAGGCAGTCGCTGTCAGCTAACAACACACATTGTTAATGTCACTATGCACCACAGTAAATAAGCTGCTGTTGAAATACTCACCATTACTGATTCTTTTTTTTTTTTTGTCCTATTGTGTGCTTATTTACACTGGTGAGGATTTTGCTCTGTGTTTTTCACTTGGAGTTTATTTGTTGTTTTTTTTAAGCCATTTTCTTCTCAGCTATTTTTAAAATGTCCACCTAAAAAAACATCCCCAGATTTAGTCTGTAACAGCAGCTGAACTGTAAGAGCAAAATGAACTACCGTGGTTGATATTTGGGAAAGCACAGCAATTGTCTTTATCGTTATCACCAGTCCTCCACCTAGCCGTATAACAATGAATCACATCAATGCTATTTAACCTGCTCAGAAAATGGTAAAAAAAAAAAAAAGAAAAGAAAAAGCAACTCTATCAAATTTGATGGCACAGAAATAAAGCACAATGAATGCTATATCTTCCTTCAGTGATAGTCGTAGTGCGACCGTCTTAAAATGAAAGTCTGAAAGGATAAAGTCCACAGACACCTCCTAGTGTGCTACAGGTGTTTACGTATGAATGATCTACCTGCTGACAAGTTTTGCAAATAAATGTCAGAAAGTTTTCATGCCAAATTTACCTTTGAATGTTTAAATGACCAATGCTTTAAGCCTAGCAGACACTTTGGCATGAGTCTGTGAATTGTCGCAAAAATGTTCTCTAACTTTAATATATAATGTAAATGTAAACAATTGTCCAACGAGGCATCAACAGATTTTCAACCTGCCCGATTATCACGGTTGATTTTTGGCAGCTGTCGCCATTGGTGTATGAATGTGTGTGAGAATGGGAAAACATTGTGAAGTGCTTTGAGTGCTATATAAGTACAGTCCATTTACTTGTTCTCTTTCTGTGCTCTGCCCAAACCCTAGGAGACCTTACAGCAGTTAATAGTCATGCCCCTTCCCAACATCCTCTGCATCGCCAAGGACCCAATATCAGGTATCACGCAACACACAATATACACCCTGTTGTTAATCAGTCCTGTACATTTCTACCTAATGTGTTCTGATAGGGATGTATAAAAGACTATTATTAATCGCTAACTGTATTTATAATCGCTGAACATGTTTGGGTTGTTACTATCCTACCATCCTAATGCTGTGAGCTATTCCTAAGGCTTGCATTAAAACAGGTAAACATCGTATTTTGTAACGTGGATGTTTCTTATTGTACTGATGATCTCATGTAATAGCTTCTAGAGAAAATTTGAATTACTGCTGCAAGACCAGTTTGCTTTTACTCTTAAATTACAGTTGAAAGAATAATAATGGCGGGTCTGCAGTCAGCGGTGTGTGATTAGCTGTAGCTTTGTATTCTGTGTCGTTGCCTGAGGTGTGCTTCAGTCTCAGTCACTATCAGTCTTCAGATCATTTCTTAGAACATTACCATCAAAGACTTGCTGGTTTGACTTTTCTTAACCTTTTCTTTTGCTTGTTCAGCCGTATCCCGATTGCTGACATACTGTTTCTGATGTCACTGTGTTTTGTTCCTGCAGCCAAGAGCATGGAAGAACTGAAAAGGCTTTTGTTGCTGATCCTAGGCTGTGCAGTGCAGGTAACACACATGCTCACACACATATATATACACACACACAAGTTCACTGTGCAGCCTAGCCTCTCCCAGGAACTGTACTTGTCTCTTTCAGTTTTGCATGTCTGAGCACAGCTGTTGACTGTGCTGACTGATGAAGTGCAGGGTGGGACTGGATGTGGGTGGGACTAAAGGATTTAAAAACACATCACTGATTTACGGCAGTAATAAGTCAGTAGAACTGTGGAAATCAAATGTTGGTTATTTAATCTGAACAATTTTGCAACTTGAAAGCCCTGCTTGAGGACACCAACAGTTGTTGACATACTTGTGTGATTCAATGAGGTTCCCAGTATGGGAGCTTAAACCAGCAAATTTTGAGATTCGTTTATAGTAACCCTGTGTGCAGCAGGTGATTTGTTGTTTTCTAACAGGGGGGATGTTCCAGTGGGAGCGCCCTCCTGCTCCCAGGCCACCAACAAACACACACAGGGGGGATTGCAGTTCAACAAGGAGGATGTCATATTTTCTCTAAGGCATCCCTACTCATCCTCCCTCTTCAAATCATCCTACTGCCTCAATGTTATTTTAGAATGAGCCAGATGTGGTGAGCTAAGAGTTAATTGGGTTGCCTGTAAATAAAGAGGAGGGGTTATTCATGTCCGAGGTGGGGCTGTAGGGGGTTTTTGTGTCTCTGTCTCGTTTCTACCTCTTCCTGATTCTTACCTGATCAAACAGTTTCTTCATCGTATCTTTCCCTTGTTTTCCTTTGTTTTCCCCGTGCTCACTCCCTCCTTCCTAATTTCCCTCCCTCTCTTTCTGTCTGGCCTCCTTTTGTCTGCCTCCCTACCTGTACTGGTTTGACTGGTTCCAGAAAAGAGGAAGGCCACGAGGGAGCAATGAATGGGAAGACAAGAGGGAGGGAAGGGTGGATAAAGCCACATGAACATGTTATTGATGTTGATGACAAAATAAGTCTTTCAACCATTCCATAAACAAATTTGCTGCACAAAACTGTATTTTCTATTTCCTCTTCTGCTCGGCTGTCATCAATGTAATGTCAACAAAGAGGAACAACAACTACTTTTATATATAGAATATTTTATGTAAATATGTGTCTTATATATTTCTTTCCTTGTGTGTGTGTGTGTGTGGATGCTCAGTGTGAGCGTAAGGAGGAGATGATAGAGAAGATCAAGCTGCTGGACATTGGGACCCAAGCTGCCATTGTCTCTCACATACAGGAGGTCGGTAGAACATAATGAAAGTTTAGCTTATGTTAGAAGTAAACCTACAGTGAACATAGTTTGTAATTTTTTGCATTGTTTTCCAAAGATTACTGAAAATCATCTCGAACACACTGCATTTCCTTTAACTTGCACAAAATATTAATCATGATCTGACCTGTGAAGACTAAAGACTGGCAGTAATTTGACAGAATATTTTCAACTCCCTGGTTGTTTACTAGCTTTTCAGGCTTAGATGCTGTCAAACACATCTTGTGATCTTCATTAGCTCCAGATGACCTTTGACCTCTTTGTAGTCAATACTGTGGCCCGTCTTGGTCTGGTGTTCACAGACAGCTGATATCATGTGTTTGCATCAGTCAGTCAGGTAGCTTGATGTGTACGCATTGTTGAAATTTGGGAAGTAGCTTCTTAGTGAGCATCTGCGGCCTGCAGTTATCCAGACTTAAACCTGCGCTACATTGGCTCTGATGTAGCCTCGTTTGTCTGTAGTCACTCCATGATCTTGACTAATGTCCCACCTACAGCACAACGTGATCGGTTACATACCATGAGTAATTACATCAGGACTGAAAAGTTCTCTTTTACTTAAACAAATTACTGAAACAGTAAAACAAAAAAACAATGACATTTCAATGACATTTTGTGTTTAGAGTTTGTGTTATCCTAGATGCAAGGTTGAGTAGAAACAGCTGTTACATCAGCTCATTATTACTTTAATTCTGTTCATAACAATCCTGCTGCTTTGTTTTATCTCCATGCAGCATGAAACATGTCCACCATAAGCTGACATCAAATAACAGTAACAGCTTGGTCAACAGTATTTCATTTAAAAGCTCCGTCCATTTTGTTAGAAATGTGGTTCTTCATTAAGTTCTTTCCTATTTTCAGACTGCTTGTTTATTTACTTCAGCCTAGCCTCAGGTCTGCCCTCTGTGTCTCCTCATGCACCATTCTGTTGAATGAACAGAGTGTTGCATGAGGAGGTCAGGTGACTGATGCTACGATGCTAGTTAACCTCTGCAGCCCCACAGATGCTTTAAAGAGTACATTGTGTGGACATGCACTCACAGAGCTTCATTATTTCAAATGCCTGTCCCATGTTTTCCAAATGTGTCAAACATGTCAGGCCACATTATAGAGCTAATGAGCATACAAACTGTAAATCATTTAGAAGGTTTTAATTAATGGTACAGCTGTGAAATGTTTGGGTTAGGAAAATGCTATGAGGTGCTGTCAGACAGTTCAATGTTTCTGAATTTGAAATCTAAATTGTAAGCTACTTTAGCAAGGAAAACAGTGGGAGTGTAATAATTCATTAAACATCCAGCTGTCCTGCTTTAAGCCACTGTACAAGTAAATAACGTTTTTCTGTCCTTTGCAACATATTTAGTGTATGTGCTTGTTTGTTGCAGGTGACCCACAACCAGCTGAATGTTCTTGACCTGTCCTGGCTGGAGGAAGGAACCGAGCTTGCTCATGATGAGCTTGAACCTCTGTCCCGTAACATGGCTGCGTCTCTACGGCAACTCATTGACCAGCGAGACAAAGCCAGTGAGGTACAGAGACACATTAAGACAGCATTTGGGTACAAACTTGTGATCCCAGGGCTACCATCTCCCCTACATTGTTTGCAGCCCCGTATCATCTGTATTGGTTCTATGGAGTCACTGTGCTGGTTCTGTTAGACAGTATTTTTCATTATTATGACTCAAGTACAGATTTGCAGTGTCCAACAGTGCAAAGCTGTTTTCCACCCAAACACACCAACAATGTTTCTAAGTTGGGAAAATTGTCAACCTGCCTTCCAGGTGATTGTGGATCTCACCCAGGAGAGGGACTACTTCTCCAGTCAGCAGCCCCAGGAAGGATGCAGGAACCTGGGCATGAGCAGCCCAGAGCGTGGCCAGGGTTCTGGAGGAGTGGGAGTGAACGGTGGATTGACTGTGTCCACACTGACCAAAGAGGAGAAGCAGCATCTGTCTGTGGAGCTTGCTGATACCAAGGCCAAGCTCCGCAGATACAGACAGGAGCTGTGAGTCTTTCAATCCAACTAAATAGTCAATACCTATATAATGATTCCAGAACATATGCACAAACATTCATAAAAATT